CCTTGGGGAAGGACAGCTTTCTCAGAAGACTGAAGGGTCAAGGGGAAAGACCCTCATGAGATGGACTGAGATAGTGATTGTAACAATGGGCTGTAGTGTGGAAGAAAAGATAAGGTGGTACAGCAAAAGGCAGGTTTCAGATCAGATGTATATAGAGTTGCTATTAGTCATATTTGACTTGACAGCATCGAACAGCACCTATACAATTACACTACAAACATCCCTCCTGACTTTATGCAAAAAATAAAAAAGATTTGTGAATATTCACTTTTTCCTGTGAAAGCTGTTTGTAGGATCCTGTGTCCCAGGACACTTTGACCCATGAAGAAACCTGTTCTTGTTAATTCCAGCTCATACCAAGTCCTGTAGTAGAGCACAGAACTGCTCTATTGCATTTACAAGGCTGTAATAATTATGGAGGAAGCTCTAATGGCGTAATGGGTAGGGAAGGAGTTGCACTGCCAACCCAAAGGCATTAATTTTGAGTTCAACAGCTGCTGTGGGGATAGAAGATAGTCAATCTCCTTCCACGACATTTACAGCCTCTGAAACTCTGCATGAAGGTCACTTATTAATCCATTTCAACTCCATGCACATAATAGCAATCATTGTGAAGAGAATCTGTAGCACAGTAGTTGGGTGTGAAGCTAGTAGATGAGAGGCTGGCAGCTTGAACTCACCAGCAGCACGGTGGTAGGAAAGACAGGACAAGTCCTCTCCTAAATTTTTGAGTATAGAAAATCTTTAGGAAGCAAGGCTATTCTGTCGTAGTCATGATGAGAGCCTGAATGATGTAATGAATTACGTGTTGTGCTGCTAACAGAACTGTTGGTGGTTCAAATCCACCTGGAACTCATTAGGAGAAAGATGGATGATGTCCTCATGTAAAGATTTGCAACCTTGTAAACTCGATGGAGGATTGTTAGGAGCTGGAAGCCAAGCAAAGGCAGTGGGTTTGGGGTTTTGGTTAATGACCGGATGAACTGACAGATTTAGGTATAGCAGTTATTGTGAGACTCCTCAAAGATCAGACAGTGTTTACTGTGCAAAATGAGAGTCGTAACGAGTCAGAGTCAACTCAGTGATACCTAACAGCAGTATCAGTAAGAGTCTGGATTGACTTGAGAGCACACAGCCATCTTTATGGAACAGATGGTGGGTTCGAATCACCGATCTTCAGGTTGGCAGCTCACGGCTATAAACTGATTTTAAACCCTGAGCTTGCTGCAGCGTTCAACTGTGTAGGAGTTCAAAACTTATCCAAAGAAAAAGTCAATTATTATTGCTTAAAACAATGCTAATGATTATTAACTAGAATCAAATGTCAATTGTTGACTTTTCAAATGAGCTAGAAGATGAAGATTTTGAAAACGTTCTGTGATTAATAAGAAGAGAACTATGTCAAGCCTCACCATTTAATGACATTTTAGCAGATAAACATTAGACAAGTGAAACAAAAACTGACATCAAATGCATGCTGAGCACTGACGGATAGTTCCCAGCTGCGTATTCCTAAAGGAATGGAGGCATGGGCCAGTAGATCATGTGATGGGAATGGAAGGAAAAGTCCCTGAAGATAGTATAGCAAACCAGAGATCAGTTAATTAATGGCTTTAATTCATTATGTTTCCTATGGAGACAACATATTGCAGTTTCCTCAGGGTTCCTGCTGACTCAGAACTAAAATAGCACTAAAAGGATACTTTAAAACAACCATCTATTGAGTAGTGCTTCATCCTGGTGAATTTAATTTCCCCCTATCCAACTTGATGATGAAGACAACTTGGAAAGGAAGTTGCTCACAAGAGCATTTTTTGGTCTAAATGAATAAATCCAGGTGGAGAATGGATTGTTGCCTGTAAAAGAAAGAGCTCAATGTCTGAGAAGACTTTGATCCGATAATAAACTCTTTGCAATGGAGCTGGTGCTGATTCTGTTTTCTAAGTCTGTAAATTGCACGTGAAGAGATCACAAGTCTTTCAACTACAGATACACTAGTGGATTCCAACCAATAGAGAGGCATGGTCATTGAGTGAGCAGCACAAGTCCCCACAAACTGCACCACTAGTGCTCCCTGATTCAGATAATGGACTGTGTACAGATCTCTACCACTGTTCTTATTGCTATGTGCCATTAAGTCGCCACCAACTCATAACAACCCTATATGTAACAACTCTGAAACCTGCCTTATCCTGAGCCAGTTTCACTGACTCTGACACACCTATTCCCAATGCCTCAATTATTATGTAAATCCATTTCATCTAGGATTCTCTTCCGTGAGGTCACTCCACACTTCGAAGCATGTTGTCCTTCTCTGAGGACTGGTCCCTCCTGGCCACATGCCCAAAGTATGTGAGACAGAGCTTCCATTCCTTGACTCCAAGGAGAAACTTGGTTTCACTCTCTCTAGGACATAACTGTTTCTTTTCCTGGATGTTGATAGTATGATCAATACTCTTCTCCATCACCACAACTGAAAGACATCAATTCTTTTATCATCCGTAGTCATCATCTAGCTCTCTGATGCGTAGCGTATAATTGTGAAGATCATGGTCTGCATCAGGCTCAGCTTAGTCTCTAGACTGATGTCACTGCTCCTCAGCACTAAGGAGAGGTCCCTGACGGCAGACTTTCCCAGTGCAATTCATCTTTTGATTTCCTGCCTTCCTGTGTCAAGAGTGAGGACTGTGGAGCCAGCAAGCTGAAGTTGTTAACAACCTCAATCTCTTCTCCAATCATCAAGAGGCAGCCAATTGGCCCAGTGGTAAAAACCTTTGTTTTCTTGATTTTGAGCTTTAATCTATATTAAGGACTACAGTCCTTGACCTTCTGCAGCAAATGCTTTAGGTCCTCCTCAGTTTCAGTAAGGAAAGATGTATCAATCCATAGCACAGGTTGTTGAGGAGTCTTCCTCTAATCCTGATGCCACATTCCTCCTCATAATGTATAGCCTCCTGAATGATCTGTTCTGCATATCAATTGAAAGGGCATGGAGATAGGATGAATTCCTGATGCACACTTTTCTTCATTTTAAACTGTGCAGTTTTTCCTTGATCTGTTCTGATCACTGCCTCCTGGCCCAAGTACAGGTTCCTCAGGAGCACAATCAAGTGTTCTGGAATTCCCATTACTTTCAAGGTTAGCAACAATTAGTTGTGACCTACACTTTCAAATAAAGCACAGATAGTTTTTCCTCTGGTACTCTTGGGTTTTGGCCAAGATCCATCTGACACTGGTGATAATGTTTATCCTGCCATGGCCTCTTCTAAATTCGGCTTCTATTTCTGGTAGTTCTCTGCAAACGTATTGTTGCAGTCTTTGTTTTATAATCTTCATAAGGATTTTGCTAGTGCGTGATATTATTGATATGGTTGATAATTTCCACACTCTATGAGCTTTTTTTTTTCAATAAGATTAAATATGGATCTCCTACAGTCAGTTGGCAAGGTAGTTTTCCTCCAGATTTCTTGTCACAACCTGGTGAGCACAACCTGACTATTAAAATTTGTCAATTTATTTGCCATCAATTCCTGGGCCTTATTTTTTTTTTGCCAATTAATTCAGAGCAGCTTGAGCTTTCTCCTTCATCTCTATTGCCTCTTGATCATGTGTTGTTTCATGAAGTTCTTCTGTGTCCATTAATTCTTTTTGGTACAGTGACTCTGTGTACTTCTTCCATCTTCTTGTAATGCTTCCTGGATCACGTAATATACTTCCAAAGCATCCTTATATATTGCACCTCAAGGCTTCTTTTATCTGTAACTAATTCAGAGAAACTTTGTCTCTCTTCTCCCACTGGTATGAAGCAACTTTTCCAAGTGATGGAAAAGTAATTTTAAGAAAGAAGAAAAATCCAATTTAATTTATTCTACTATCTCATATTGTGCTAGGTCTATATAATCTTTGGAAGTTTCCATAATGTTGATGTCTTAGTTGGGGAAACAGTAGAATAGAGCAGGAAGTAGAGAGGTAGAAGCAGCGAGACATATCCAATTCAGTGAAAAAGAGACTATGGTGAGGATCCTGTGATAAGTGTTCCCGTCAAAGGCCTTTGAGTTCCCTACATTTGCTTACTGAGTTTCAGGTGTAAGGAACGTTTTCACAAATCCTTTTGGGCCCTGCCTGAGGTATATAATTTAAACCATAGGAAATTGTCACTATTTGATCATATTTTCTGTCCACAAAACCAGAATTTTATTCTATACCAGTTGTCTCCTTCCTGTGAGCTAAGTCCAGAGAAAGGAAAGATGGTGGGGAAATTGATTGACTAGGAAGGCCCAACACAGACTCTTAAAGACCGAGTTGGAAAGATGTATAGATTTTAAGTGACCAAAGGAAGACGACCTCACAGATGTTCCATATCTATAGGATTGTTCCAGGCATGAACAACCCTTCTTCAACCCAGGGTGCTTTCTACAGGAAAGAGAAGGAATTCCAAACTCATTTTCTGTCACAGAAGGTCTAGTACAGGGGCATACACATCTATACCTCATGAGCATCAGGATTTAGAAAGGAGGGAAAGATGTTGATGGTGGAGGGCTCTTGACCCCTGCTTACATTTTCGGCAGGGGAACCAACATCACAGATCTCACTGAGGACATGATGTCTTAGAGTCTCCATCAAAAATTACCAGGAACACTTCCCTTATATAGCTACCTGAATATAATAAAAGAGTGTCAGGGGAACTTATTTTCAATTCTCAAAATCCTGAGGGAATGGATGAGAGGGCAGGGAGGTTTTATTGGAAGATGGTAAAAAAAAAATAACCCAGTCTTAACAGGTCCCTCAAGCAGCTTCCAGAGGGAGGACTAACATATACTCTTCACTTGTGTGAAAGAATGAGGGATCAATATGACAAAGATGGACAGAAATCAAAGAAGTCACAATTTTTCTCTTTTAAGAACGTGACTTCACAGAACTTGGACACAGCGGATGAGTTAACTCTTTCCATACCTTATCCCACCCCACAATAGCTAACCCACCATGAACGATGCACTTACGTTGAGTGTTCCTGGATAAAGCCAGCGGAAGGCTCAGCACAACCATCATCAGTGTCAGGGCTGCCATCCAGGTGCCCCCAGGGAACCACAAGCTCACCATGCTGGATGACAGGAGGGGACAAGTCTTAAATGAGCAGGCAAGACTCCACCAATTGAGACCTACAACATATTGTCCAAAAACAGGAACCAAGAAATGCATCACTTTGCCCCTGGTTAGGTAAACTTTGGGAACCAATCAGCATTTGAAATGGAAAGCATCATCAGTTGCTGGTCAGAGATCTCATATGAAAGACCTCTTCTGAAACTTTTAGTAAAAAGTTGCTTGTCTTTTGATACTTTACAGATTCAATCCAGCTACATCTATAACGTTGACTTTAACCCCGATTGCAAGCCATCTCTATGCTGGTCAGTGATATGTACACACAGGTTTAAGCCCTTTAAGGGTCTTTATCTCCCTGTGGTTGAAGACAATGTGTGTGCTTAGGAATAGAGTTTTGGAAGGAAAGATGACAGTAAGTCAAGAGATCTTTAATTTGCAATATTACCCAGAAAAAAACCTCTAATCATGAGAGAATGAATTTTCAAAGGGAAAATTAAGATCCTACGTATTTTTTTCTTTTTCTTCTTCTTTTTTTCCCCTCCTGAAATGTGGATATTTGGAGATGCTATGAGTCTTTGGCCACTTAGGAGCCTCCTTGGGAAACAGCCTTCTCTGTTGGCAGGACAGAATTACAGCTTGTGATTAGAAACTATGTTTTATATCTCCTAAGGATAACGCTATTGCTGATAAACAAAATAATACAAAGTCAGTCAGTAATTTGTCTTCAGTGAAAAGTTTTTAAAGGTTGTTTCCTGTAATTGTCATTGAGTTTAGCTGCATATCCAGAACACATAGGAGACAATCTAGTGGAAGTTAAGGTCTTCAGGATATGTTAGTAAAACACTTAACCTGACAATATCATAAGGTAAAAAGTTCAAGGACCTTGTTATTGTTGGTTTTCTTTGTCATTGAGTCACCTGAAACTCATAACGACAACAGCTCTGAAGCCTACCTTGGCCTGAGCCAGTCTCACTTACTCCGACACACCTACCCCATTATCCCAGTTACTGTATCTAATCCATCTCATCTGAGTTATTCCTCTCCTGGGCTATCCTTCCAACCATGATATCCTTCTCCAAAGACTGGTCCCTCGTGGCCATGTGCCCAAAGCATGTGAGACAGGGTACAAAATTCTAGCCTCCAAAAAGAAACTTCATTTTTCCCTCTCCAAGACAGACCTATTTGTTTTCTTGACAGTTCATAATATGTTCCAGACTCTCTTCCAGAGTCATGCGTTTTGCATAATATTTCAGGAGTTCTTTGTTTTTCAATGGAAATGTCAATATTTTTGCCCACACAGTAATTCAATGACATCTATTCCTCTCCTTATTCATTATCTGGTATTTTTCTTTAATTTTTAACAGTTTAATTTTATCATGAGTAAAAAGAGATTGTTCTTAGTGGTTTAGTACTGGTCTGTCAATTTGCTCTTCTGACATAACTTGGGGTTGCTGTGATACTGAACACTGTACTGCTGGTGTGGCAAATGCCATAATGTTTACCCATGATGGACAAGGTTTGGTAGAGCTGCCAGATTAAGACCAATGAGGGAGTTTTTCTTTTGCTTTTCAAGGAGAGGAGCAAATGGGGGGGAGGGGGGAGGGGTTTGTGCGGGGAGAAGGGTGCAACAATGAATGAATGGAATCCCAAAATCTCTGTAGATGTTCATTGAAATGAAAAATAAACAACCTAAATTAAAAAAAAAAAAAAGACAGGTTTGGAAGCAGGGTTGGCATCCACTTTCTAAACAACAGGCTTTGGAAACTCTATGAACATTAGGGAAACAACAGTTATAGAAGAGGGTCGAAATCTTTTGTTCATAGGGTCATGCTGAGTTGTATTGATTTGATGGCACTTAACAACAAAAACAACATCATTTTGTGCATCTATATTTGTTATGGTCATGTTCTCTTGAGCACTGTCAAGTGTTCTGTGATTCCCATTCCTCTCAAGGTTAGCAACAATTTGTTGTGATCCAAACAGCCAAATGCCTTTGCATAGCCACGGAAACACAGATAGATAGATATTCCTCTGGTACTCTTGGTTTTCAGCCAAGGTCCATCTGACCGTGGTGGATTTCCCTCGTGCCACAGTCTTTTCTAAACCCAGCTTGTGTTTCTGGTAGTTCTCCATCAATATGTTGTTCCAGTCTATTTTGGATAGTCTTCAGCAGGATTTTGCTTGCGTGTGATCTGAATAATATTGTTAAATAATGTCTACACTCTGCTGGGCCACGTTTTGTTGTAATGGGAATAAATATGGATATCTTTCAGTCATTTGGCTGGGTAGTAGTCTTTCAGATTACTTGGCACAACCTGATGAGCACATCCAGTATAGCATCTGCTTGTAGAAATATGTCAGTTGCGCTCCCATCAATTCCTGGGGCCTTTTTTCTTGACAATTCTTTCAAGCCCATAGAAATTCCTCTTTCATAACCATTGCCTTTTTATCATTCATTGTTTCAATACATTCTTCTGTGTCAGCTGTTTTTGCTAGAGTGACCCTGTGTACTCCTTCCTCTTCTGATGCTTCCTGGATCATTCAATATTGTCCTCACAGTCTCCTTACGTATTGCAAGGTGAGGCTTGAAATTGTTCTTCAGTTCCTTCAACTTAAGAAATAAGACTGTTAAAATATCAGAGTATAAAGCAGTTTGCATACAGATAGAATCTATGAAATTATGTGAAATCTGTGGTAATTGTGTGAAATTACCAAAGATGAGAAGCAATGGGAAAGGAGAGAAAATAAAAAGAATTTTTGATACGTACATATAAAGCTTGGTAGATACTCTCTAACTGTGTGAGCTCTGGTTACCTAGTGTCAAGAGCCTGAATTGCAATCACAAAGGCACATGGTTCAAATTCACCAAATGGCCCAAGGGAGAAGGATGGGCAGTCTCCTCCCTGGAATTAACTGTCTCCGAAAACCTACTGGAGGGTCAACTATGGGTTAGTTCCTACTTAAAGACATACAACAACAATAGCAACAATAATCTGTCTAAAACAAAGTTCTCTAGTATTTTAATCTCTTGTTTGGTTATTAATTGAGGAAATTGGAGGAAGAGAGTGGGGTAGAGGGAAGAAGTGAGGACGAGAAAAAGGGGTGTGGGGAAAGTCTTAAACTTTTCTTACTGAATTTTGAAGACCTGAACAGAAGTCTGGATTAAAAATCTTCCCTGCTCTTTCTGTCCCCTATTTTGTCAATTCCACTATCAATTCTAGGACACCAAAACAGGATGATAGCATATTTACCTGTGGGCTGAAGATCAGTTTCCAAGGAGAGACAGATGTGTAGAAGGCACAGAGGCAAATCTGTTCCACATGTCAATTTCTCAGTTCTACATTTCCTACTAAAGATTTCTCTGATACAACACATGCAATTTCACACAAGGGCTGATAGACAGCAGAGTCTAAGAGCCAACAATCTCTGAAGCCTCTGTGACATGAATTCCGTATACTATTGGCCTTGTATGGCCCTCTTTCATTAACCTCAAGACAGTGTCTCCAAATATCAATGCATTTGCAGCTTTCTTTTCTCTTTGAGAAGTTATAGCCCCGATGTTTTAGCAAAATAACAAAAGAAACACACTCATGGACTCTTTATTTTGGGGTGTCCTAAAACCAGCTTAAAGAAAACCCTGGAAATCTCAGCAATCTATAGGTTCCTTGCCTTTCCCATTTCTGAAGTGGATGGACAGCACCGCCCCCAGCAAGATCACACTCGGAAAACAGCCCCTGATGTCACTCAGCATCTTGCTCTGAGCAGATTCCAATTATTCCCCTAAGAAGCCAGGTTCAGTCATATGTACCCTAATCCAATATCTCTAATTGAGACTCTGATATTCAAAACTGCGAGTATGGGGAAGATGTCTGCTCTTCAAAACACTAACTGCTGTGCTAGAATTGGTAACTTCTAGTGATAAAGATCACATTGTGTTAATTACAGGTTTGGTCATTAAATTCATTGGTCATCTCATCTCTGACATTAGTTTTTCTCACAAAACAGGTGAGGAGACTGAGACTCGGTGAGATTAAGGAGCTCGTCTAGAGTGACAGAGCTAATAAACTGCAGAGCTGAGATTGCATTCCTCCAGGTCAGGAAGGACCTTGCATTGAAGAAAACGGTCCTCTTCTCAGGTCATGGTGAACATCTATTTAACTCAGAGCAATAACTCTGGAAACTGAAGTCCAGCTCCAGGGACAAGCACTTTTAACCAGAGTCAAGTGTGTAAACATGAACTGTGCTGTCATGAAAATATTCCAAACACAGGTACCTACATTTTTTTCCTGCTTGACAGACATGATTGTCTCACCAGGGAGATTATCACAATGCTAACCTGTGACCTGAACTCAAAGGGAGTAGAATATGGAGGAAATGAAAACATTATGTGTGAAGAGGAGAAACCTGGCCCTCAGGGAGAAGCCAAGGTTCCCTTCTTGGTGACTGAGAAATTCATGAGATGGGCTAACTGCTCACAACACTCCACGGTGACAGGGCTCTCCAGGCTCGGGTGCTCCACTTGGCAGGAGTAAACCTCTCCACTCTGAGGAACAGCTTCAAACATCACTAGCATCTGCAAGGTCCAGTCTTCCTGAGCTCCCCTCTGAAATCTTCTATTCACCTCATTAACTCCTTGAGTCCATCCTTTTGCTTAGGCTTCCTCGTGCTCTAGTGCTATATTCAGAATCTCTTTTGACATCTATTTTGGTCTTTCCTTCTTTCTCTGTCTTGGTAATGATCTTTTGGTTTCTACATGGTTGATACTTTTTATATCTTCACACAAGCCTCAAATTTGTAAATGAGCTATTAATTATATGCAGGGAGGATAGAATCAAGATGAAAATTATGTGTAAGTAAAAACATTACACATCTCATTTAAGAAACAGTTATATTGTACATACCTCTTTATTGTGGCTTTTTCACAATAGCAAAGCATTGGAAACAACCTAAGTGTTCTTCAACAAACTAATGTTTAGAGAAGCTGTGGTCCATTCACACAA